GCTGGAAGAAGCAGCGCTGCGGCTGTGTAACGTGCGCTTCGCCTCCACCGTCAACTCGGTCTGCGCCGCCACGCGCTACCACTACGTCACCGTCCTCATGAAGGGCGAGGCGGAGCCGGGGGCGGAGCCGCGCAACCTCGAGCCAGAGAAGAACGAGGGTGAGGGGGGCGCGTGCGGCAGGGGCGGGGCCTTAGTCGGTCTTATCAAAATGCGCTTTGAGCACCTTCTAGGTTTAATTTATTTGCTATTTCCCTTTATTACCACACGCTTGGGACGTAATGAGGTCAGGGAGTAGCTACAGGTACTTTTATTCTGCAGATCCGAGAAAAACACTAATTTCCAGTAGGGTCAAGACTGACAGGGAGGAGAGTAATAAATTTAAAATAACTGCATATGCCACGGAGAACTCGGGTGTGTCGTTGGCAGTTTCTGTACAAGAACTATCCACCCAGGCTTGAAGAGGCGGAATCATTACACCATCCATTTTACACTCTGTTTATTTCCCCCCTTACAGGCTGGGAATGGGTTAAATGGGATGAACTTCCTCCAGCAGATCAACTGTTCTGGGCCTTACGCTGTTTGAGAGAGCAAGGTTACAATCCCTTCACAGAAGAGCTCGATCATCTAAAGGGGTACACGGGAAGTCACCAACTAGCATAAAAACTAATCATACATTATGTAACAAACTGAAGGACAGACCTGCTTTTTTTGTTGTTGTAAAAGAGAAAAGGATGTATCATGCTCGCTCTGCCCATGTGAAAACATTACCTTTCCCAAAGCCAAAAAGGTGCCAAATGTTCCAATGCTTTTACTGTATTTCACATGACAGTTGTCCCTCATTCCTATTTCTAGCTCTAGTGGTTAACACTTAATGTTTTCTTTTATAGAAAATTCATGTTTTATCTGGTTAATCTTTATATAGATGAATAGCCCTTTGGAAGTCAGAACTCAGAAACTTACTCACTTAGAAACGGTTGTAGCATCAGGCCGGACAAACTGATTTGTTTAAACCACTGTCCTGCTTTCTATGTAAAACTCCTTTGTATATCATGCTGCTTCTATAAATCTTGGACCAATTTTTAAACTTAGCCTTGTCTCATAGCTTCAGTTAAAGATACTGTCATAAACAAGTGTCACATTTTACAGACAATGCTTTGTTCCCCCACCAACAGTAGTATATAATTGAAAAAGTATTATAAACGTGAAAGCAGTGGCTTGTGTAGGGGATGAAAGTTCTCTTCCATTTGACTCAAACTCTGAAAGCTTGACTCTTCTTGCCACCCACTTCCATGAGAGTTCTGTTTGCAGCCTCAGTTACATCAGAATTCATCTGCAGATGCGTTTCATATCTCTGCAGTCGATCTTAGTTTCTGATCATGTTCCTAGACTCTTAATAATTTAATGGAGAGGTGCCTACAGTGTTCTACTAGGCCAACACAAATAACATTGTACAAACTAATCTCCTTTATAGGTGTAGCTCTGCGGCAGACAGTCGTACTTTTTGGCTAAAGAGGCTTGTCAGTATTAAACAGCACAAATGGGTGCAATTCTGTATGGCTACTGGGATTTGATAGAATGGTTAATTTTCAGTTTGATGTGACTAAATGATTGGATTGGTAGTGAATAAAATTACATAACACAGAGATATACAAAACCAATGAGTTGAAATTTGTGATTTTTCTAGAATCTGTAACCAAATTTGATTCTTTTACAGCTATAGTCATTAGGACATCAGCAATTAATTGTAGAATAAGGATGGATTATGATTTAAAAAAAAAAAAATCACTAACTGGCTCATTTTTTTCTCTTCAGTGTTCTTTTAAAACAGATTTTATCGGTTTCCTTTAGATATACCTGTTGTACAAAGTGTTCTGAGGTACCTTTAATTTCTTTTAAATAAAACATAAGCACAGCATTGAAAGATTAAAATTGTCTAAAATTATGAATTGAATTGTTCTTAAAAGAACTGAGCTTGAAGGGTTTAAAGCTCTTCCTTCCTTTGCACATAAGTTTTCTTTAATGCAGATGGCTCTTTTTGCTGAAAAGCAAAGTGATACAAGGTATAAGGATGCTACTGACAAACACAAGCCTCCTCCTTAGAATTTGAAGTATTAACTGTCCCTTAGGACAGATATTCTTTCTCTGAAGCAAAGGCAGAAGATACTGCTACAAAGCAGTTTTGAAATGGGAAATATAACTGAAAATTCCTCTACTGTATCTTTGTAGAAAACTTATTTTTCTATTCAAAAGTGGAGATTTTCTTCCTGAAAGCAACTTTATGTACACTGAAAATTATTCTATTCAGCTGTCAACAAAGAGGCTGTAGGAAGATTTGACAGATGTCCTGCCCATCTGTCCCAAAGAATAAAGGGGGGGAATAATAATTAAAATTTAGTGCAATTTTAAATTTTATAAGGCATCTAGCTCCTGACCAGAAAACAGAGGTCACCGTAAAATGGTTTGTCATGCAATAAATATTTCATTACCATTAACGGTTATATTCATTCTACCTGTTGTAAATATAAAAGTAGTTACTGAAATAAGAACACAAACAGTATCTCCATATGTCAGGGTTTCTGTATCCTCTCTAAGTGGAATGATTAAATGACTACAGCAATCAGCTGTCAGCAATCCTAAACTTAAATAACTTTTTCATATGTATCTTGCATTTGTACTTCCTCCCCCACCACCCAAAAAATTTGTTTCACAGTAGTTTTTAGCTGCAAAGACTCAGTCCTTTCAAGTAGATGTTATGTTTACTTTGATTTTTGGTGCTTTTGCTAAATAGGAAAATCTATTATGTACGCATCTAAGCCACTGAGTAAGAGAGCACACAGTTAAAACTTTATGGTTTGCTAAATTGCTTGCAATATACAGAATTCACCTAAAATAGCACTATAGTTATCCAGCATTTAGAAAAATACTCCTGAACAGTGTATAGTTTGGAGCATTGATGTAAAGAAAACGACTAGGATGCATCTTATACCAAGAGTCTGATTTTAGACTAAGTGAACAGTGGACAGAGCTGTCATCTTATCTATTTCTTAGATGTAACACATTGGTCCCATATAATTCTTTAACAGACAAGCAAACAACCCAGAAAAAGAAGTGGTTATTGCTTCTGTTCACTCTTATTTATATCTGGAAGCAATCACCCACCTCCACAATATTTCAGTTAGTGAATCACATGATACAGCCATGTAAGAGTTTTGGCTAAACTGCACATTATGCTTTCCATGAGTATTAATTATATCTATTCTTACTTCATTCCAAGAAAATAATATCCTTATAAATGAGAAGACAAAAGAGACTAGTGAGCTGTGGCTGGGCCATAAGATATGTTAAGGGAGGGGCATTTAGGGAAGAAAATACTAATCCTATGGTACAAAGCATTAAGAAACTGCATTTTTGCAGTATTGTGTATGATTCTGATCACACATGTTTAAGGGAAAAAAGCCAATGTGAACTAGAACAGCGGCAGGCAAGGTTAACTAGGATGATTGAGAGGGGCCCTATTTCTCTTCTAAAACCAAAAACAGTGCTCCATATTACGTGATTGAACCTAACCGAAGAGGTCCCTTTTCGTTTCTACATCTGTATGGATCTTGTACATATGTTGGTCGTATGTGGCAGCGTTACTTACAGCAATATTTGAGAGATTGTCTGCGTGAATGAGAAAGGACCTGATCTATCAGATACTTCCTGCGAGGAATCTACAAAATGTGAAAGTAGAGAGAATTGTCATCGGTGCTTCAGGAAGCCTCGTTGCAGGGCAGAAACCTGTAACTGCCATGAGCAACAGTTCACATAAATAACCCCCTGATCAAATCAGAAAGCTAAAGAGAAAAGTACTGGTCATAAAATGACTCCTTAAGCAAAACAACAAGGAAAGGAAAGCCAAGGGAAGTGCCTTTGGAAAGATGAAAGAACATTGTAGCTGAGGCAGGAAATGCAACTGCTGAAGTAAACAAATTAGTAGGTTCAAAGAACTGAAAAAATTATAGGTGATAAGAGTAAAGAACCTGTGAGCACTTTGAACTGAAAGGAGCTGACCCTGCAGCATGCCCCAAAGTGTGCCAACTCCAGGGTCCCAGGATGCTTAACCAAAGCATTGGTGAAGTCTTGCGAATGGGCACTCTACATAACTGCCTCAGGGTCTGCCCAGTTCTATGTGTACCTGATGGGGTCAGTTCCTGACTGCTCAGCTGCTTCTAATACTGACTTAGCATTTTGCAAATGGAAAAATGGAGTACAAACTTCTGAAACTCAGTCAGAATTCAACCACATACTGGGATAAAATGTGCTGAATATTGACATTATACAGTAATTCATCTAAGATTTAAGTTTGCAAAATGAAACGTAAAGTTACAAAGCTGAGTTTATTTATGACAAATCATTCATTATATATTACAATAATTACAAACTTTTTTTTTTTTGCCCCTTATTGCCATATTTTTGTTCTCGGCACACACAAGATTATCAAGAATGTAGATTCAGTCAGTAACAAAAAGAGATTTTAAAATTACAAATCTCATGCCTCATTTCTGTGCCATAGAAAAGGCTATCATCAAAAGAGTAAAGCTACTAAGAAACATACAAGGGGATTCCCCTTACACCTTTTTTCCCAGGAATTTTTGTCATCTAATGTATAGTAAATACATATATATACACACACATCTCTTGCAAACGTACACATTCACACATTTACATAATCACTGGAAATTTGGCATCTCTCTTCCAGCAGAAAGCTCCCAGTCATTTTACTTGAATATCATATGTGAAAAAAAAAAATTAGATCTCAAGTCCATGGTTTTAAATTAGTCACCCTATTTCTAAGTCCGCTGTTATCCTCTCCCTACACAGGGCCACCAGCATAACAAAAGGGTATTGCAATTTGTGACGAACAGCATCCAACCTACCTTCACCACAGGAAAGGTCTACTAGGGATACTGTCCCTCTTGTACCTAGTCTGAGTCACTGCTGCTGCTTGAGGAGTCTGTTGACATAACTTCTACATCATCTTCATTCTCTTTATTGTGTCCTGGAGGCTCCAACATGAAGTCATTACTATGATTAGGAGGTAGCATGTTCATCGACATATCACTTGACTGCCAAGGATACTGAGGAGCAAGCACATCTGGAAAAAAAGGGGCATAATCAAACTATCAGCTTTGTATATCAACAAATACAGTAAGACAGTTTAACCAGAACTCCAATTTAAAATTCAAACAAATCTTAAAATCCTCCCTGAATTTTGGACAGATGAAACCCTCCAGTAACAACTGGAAAACATCTCATGATGGAGCCATTCTATCACTGTAAAATCCTACTCTGCCAGAGAGGCCCATTATGTAGGTGTCTCTTGATCTCTCATCACTCCACTTCAAAACAGTATATATTCATACGGAGCTTTTCATCTTCAAAGCAGAGTTTAAACTGACTTAACATTCACAACCACTGGCAGTAATGAAAATGGTCACCCTCTGTCAGTATGCAAAAATAGATGACAACATTACATCAAAAAAAATACTTAAGGTATACCATATAAATTCAGAGTAAAGGAGTTTATGCAAATTTGGCTGAAACACCTTGCTTATCATTTTTCCAAGAGCAAATATGGTGCACCAAGTGCAAGGGAGAAGTGTCCTACTAGAAAACCAGGACCACGGTCACGAGATACTTGAGAGGTGGCAATGCCCCACTGTGCCCCAGCCAGGCCAGACTCAGTTGCCTCTTGATTTCTCCCAGCTCACACCGTTTCTTCTTTTCTCCTCCTACTTCCAAAGCCATCCCATCCTGTACTCCCTGCCAAGCCACCCTCCCTCCACAACACTTCCTAGTCTCTCCCTTCCTTGCCCCCAAAAATGTCTCCCATTTCTAAGCTGCAGTACACATCTATGTGCCATTTCTGCTCCCTTCCTTTTAATTGATGCTCCTACTGCTGTGCTGTTCTTCTCCACTTATTACTGGACACTGTAGCTAAGTCTATCCCATAGAAGAAACCAGCTATCTCCCTCTTACAGCAAGTATTAAAAATAATTAGGTGGAGTCAGAAGCAAACAAAAGCCCACCCATGTGGGGCTTTGAGTACAGAAAGAGAGGGCACTGTCTAAGTGGGGGGTCATATATGGTAGACTTCCTCTCACTCAGGTGCTGTCTAACTCTGAGGCACACAGACTCCACACACACACACAGAGTAGCTTCTGGTCTTCAAATCTGCAGACACCTGAGACTCCACATATGGAGCAGCCACAGTCATACCAGATGCATTACTTAGCTGTACAAATCTGACCCACCAGCAGATGCGAGAACGTAACACAGCCTTTATGCCAGTTCTGTGCCTGCTTTAGGACAACCAACAACAGTACCAGGTGGTGTCATCCCAGCTGTGGTGCAGTTAACCAACTTTATTTGAACCAGCTGAGAACATAAGCCAGTGTTTTACATTCTGTGGCCATGCTTCAACCTGGTTTAATAGCATTGAATGTGTGTGCTAAGCAGCCTCAGAGTTTTGAGGCTACCAAGCAGCCCAGAGGCTGGCCTGCAGACTCAGTAAGGACTCAGATGTCAGTAACCAGACATCTCTCTGCAGAAGTCTCTAAAAGGAGATCCCATAATTAGCATTCTCAGGTCATGCCTCCACACTAACAGATTCAGGATCCCTACACAAAATGCCAGGGCAGCCTCTACTTTCTTTTAAACTAAGTTTTGATGTTTTCCTTTTTACCTGACAGTCTAGTAATTAGAGGATTTCCCCTGACATAGAAGACCCAGATTCAATTAACAACTTTACTTGAGAAATTTAAATCCCACATTTTTCAGCTTCTCAAGGAAAAGTCCTCAAGAGCAGGCTTTCAGTTCCTACAGAGACAGCATCAAAAGTAAACGGAGAAAGTCTGCATCCCCTAAGGCAGAGGAGCCAGCAAGAATGGGCTCTACCAAAACTTACGCTCAAATGCTCAAAACAAAATGCTCAAATTCCATGAGGAAAACACAACCTTAACACCTCCTCTGACCATATTTCAAAAGAACAGAAAAGATACACAGGCCCATCCTCAGTATTGCCCTGATGGGTTGCTATGGACAGATGTCAGGGTCCCACTCCTATTCAGCTCAATGACGCATTTTATCCAAGGCCAGAGGTTTAGAAAGCAACATTCACAATTCCATACTTTGTCACCACTGCTAAGAAAAGTTTGCTTTGAAAATGCTTCTTTTTAATATGATTTGGTATCACTTTACTTACTGCAATTTAAAATAAGTGAATCAAAGGGTAACTAAGTGAATTTTGTTTATACTGACTTAGCTGTAGTGTCTGCAGTATGATGTAGCATGAAATAAAATTACACAATTTCTAATTGTTAACTTTATTTACTAGATCTTCACTGCTAGGGAACTACGTTGCCCATAATTTTATGATTTTAACTCTGATTTGCCTTTGCTAAGGGAAGAGTGTAATTGCTATGACTGTACAAGGAATAAAGAAAAGCAAAATAAAACTGAATTTCTCCTACCTGGCAGTCTGCCCGCTGCAAGTGCATCCCCTGGTAAGTGTCCATTAACTCCATTGGTGGATGGGTTGTTCATCTGACCCAAGAGACCACTCCTCATTTCCAGATCTGTAGGATATGGCCTACGTGGGTCCCCTTAAAAAAAAAAAAAAACAAAAAAAGAAAAAAATTTAAATATTTCACAATTGTCTTGCAGACATCAACTTTTTCGTCAGTGCCTAGTTTCCTGATGACCAAAAAAAAAAAAAGAAAAACCATACTGTGATTGTTTCAATCAGCAATGAGCACCACAGCTGTTTTGTTAAAATCCAAGTCTGTCTCTCAGACTTTCTTTGTTCATTCAAACTTGGCAGAAAAGCCACATTTAAAAAAAAAAAAAAAAAAAGCATGTTTAGAAGATACCTTTGCTCTCCCTGCTACTTTACAGCAAAACAGCAAGAACAGGAACTGAAAAAAAAACTCCCACATTCTCATTTTGGACAAGGAGGATAGTTCCAAAAATTGAAATCTGACATAATGAAAGCCCTGCTTCTGATTCCACTGGTTACTAACATTCCCTTTAAAGAATATTATAGGGGCAGGAGGGAACACAACCAAGCACATGCAAGGTTCTAGCCAACCACAGAACCTTGGTTCTATGCCTTTAACATACTTGGTTCTAACTTATAATTGGGGTGAGCATTCAGGAGAAAAAAGCAAAGAAAGGAGAGCAGAAGAGGCCAGTCAGTTATTGGAAGCACAGTTTCATAGCTTTTTGATGACATATGTAAAGCCTACAGGACTTTGGCTATCCATTTTTGTTGAAAATATTAGATATAACAGCTGAAAACATTGTTACTCTAGTAAGCCCCAGTGTTTTTCACGATATAAAAGCATTAGAAGACCAGATACTGAATATGCTTTATTATAAAAAAAAAATCTATTGTCATAAACATGATAGTTACCTGGTACCCATGTCAGAGGAGCACAAACAGCATTGCTAGCACTGATCCTATGGGCATATTTAATTATTTCTTCAGAGGAAATGGCACCTGGAAGAAGGCATGAAAAGTTGCAATCTCTTGAAAATGTAGTATCATTCAATTATTTCAGGATATTGGACACTAATATTGAAAAGACTGGGAATGTCATTTTGTCAAATATTAAGAGCATGCTTCAACTGCAATGACTGCTTAGAGCATTCTTAGACTATGCAAGGACAAGCTTTGCAGTAAACTGATTTTACAGCCCCAAGTTCAGTACATCTTCAATGTCAACAGTTCTTCAACCTTGTGAAAAACATAAGCCAATCTCTTAAGCAGTGTAACTGACAAGCACAATTTGTAAGAAAACTTCAGCACCTGCTTTATTATGGAATTTTCCACAGTTAAGAAATTTTTTTGTTTGTTTAGAAATTATAGACACACATGTAGCAGCCCTTCTAAATATGTGCCCGTATTACAAGTAATAGAAACTTTATGAAATTCCTTGATTTTTTTAATATGGAAGAGGTATAATGAAATGATAAAAGATACTGTAATAAAACACCTAGAAAATGCCTCCCACAAAAAAAAAAAAAGTCAGCTTAGCTTGGTAAGTGCCACAGAATAGCAGGAATTGCTTCAAATTACAAACCCGTATCACCAGCTAGTCATTCTTTCAAATGCAAGTCATTTCACAACACACGTGAATAGAAACATTCTCTCCCTTTCCTCAGTAGACCTACTGAGGCAATTTGCCTTTGGTGAGACACTCAGGTAATCAGATGTAGTATCATCGGTCCAAGAAGAGTGTTGAAACACTTCAATTTAAGTTTTAATATTAAGATATGTTTGCCACAAAAAATAATTCATTCCCACCTTTATTCTGAGGAAATGGCTATAGGTTCATAATGAAATGGAAATTCATTTACACATAAAGCATCCAAAATCTGTGATGGCAGAATTACAAAAAAACCCACCCAAACCTAACTTGAGCTCACTAGCAACTTTCTTTACAACTGCATTTATGTAGTATGTACAAACAGGGATACTTGCCTCTTCTTGCCTTTTCAATTGATTTCAGCTTTTCCTTTGCTTGATAAACAGCTGTTGCCTAGTTGTAAAAAAAAAAAACCAAACTAAACCAAACCTTCAATGCATCTTTTATTTGTAAACCTATGCATCTTTTATTTGTAAACCTCTACATAAAGTCAGCTCTGCGAATAAACCCTTGCATTTGATTGCGTTTTAACTGAGAAACTAATCACTGAACATTTTCAAAATATACAGAAGCAAAATAGGTTTAGAAGAAAATTAGCATTATAAAACAAAACTGAATACCATAACTAAACAGTATTTGACTACTGGAAAGAAAAAAAAAACAGAAAAAAAACACATCACAAAACCACTAAGCTCTTATGAAGTTTTAAATATTTAAATCTTCTCAAACTAACACAACACCACTTTCTCCAGAACAACCTTTTCCACAAGTAGATGCTCAAAAGCAAACACATCATTACAAACTTACCAGTATGTGTTCTGCTTCTTTAAGTTGTTTCTGCAGCTGCTGAATATCATTATCCCTCTTTTCTACTACCTTTTCTAAAAGCTGCATTTCATGATGGATTTTCCCCTGATCGACTGCCAACTTCATTAGCTCTTGAAACTCTCCATCTCTCTGAATCAGCAGTTCCAGGATCTATTGAACAAGAGTTTTGTATAACTTTTAACTTAGCTAGAGTAACAACGCACCCTCAATCCTGCTGCAAAGAAGAGCAACTGACATACATAGGAGTATTTCTGTTCGCATGAAAAATGAAACAAAATTTCTTCCTCTGTTTGCAGAAACAGCCTATGAAGCATGCAACAAATGAACAAAAACAACATGGGGACCAAGAATGCCTTTGTAGTGGGGCCAAAACCCCATCATCATCATTAGCTTGAGTACAGGCAAGGACAAAGAGAGAGAAAAAAGGAAAAAGGAAAAAATTAGAAGTACTTGCTCAAAGAAATAGTTTAGAAAGTCAGCTTACCTGGCTCTCCTCTCCCGGTTGTGGAAGCTTCTGGTTTCTTGAAATTGCCAAAATTTCTATTAGTTCCCTGAAAGAAAAATTCTGTGTTTGTGCAATTTTTTAGGGCATTATTTGTAAATCACATCAAGTCATCCCAAACTTGTCAGAGTACTGATACCATTACAAAAGTATTCATGGATGTGAGCATTTTCTAGTTTTATAGTACAGTGTTGGCAGGGATTTCTCAACTAAGAGTAATTCTGTGAATAGTCTCACGATTGGAGCACGTTTTCTTCTTTGTTCTTTGAGCTCATGAAGTGCTCGTGTATTTGTACTCAGGAATGTGTTAAGTTCCTGCCAAACTACATAAGGCAGAAGCTGAGAGAAGAAACAGCACAATGAAATGCATTCATAACCTACTTCTACTGCCTTTGTTTGTTGCGAGAGGACATGAAAGTTGTCTTCACTATTTTATTTCTCTACTTTTCCTCCATTTCTTACCCAACAGAGCAAGTTTCACACTTGGATTTAAAGCAATTAAGTCTACGCTTTCAAACACCTAAAAAGTTTGTTGTGAACTACTTCTGTAAAAACAGGTGTTTCCACAATGGTATATCAGTTGCATATCAAACACAAATACCAAAAAACTAATAATATTCTAGGTCTAGGACAGAAGTGCTTCTCAAACATAGCTCTTGATCATGCTTCCTGGCACCCATTTACTTCACCAGCATTCTGAAAAGCCATCAAGAACTTCAGAGGGGATTCGCTAAACAAGACGACCATGATGCAAAAAGGCAGTAAACTCAGCACACTTATTTGGCTTTTAAGTCTATGGATGGCAGTTTAACGCTACACGAGTAACTGTCTATCTGAAGACACTGTCCTTGGAGCAATACTTTGCGTGGTCCAATGCAAGCTGCTGAAGTGGGAAGTACGACTAATACAGCAGCGGCGCCAGAACCTTAAAATGAAAACAGGTACTTCTCAAAATGTGTGCAGAAGCCCCTCAGCAGTAAAGCTCTAACTACGATCTTGGTCTATGTCTCTTGGCCACTCCTGAATGCTAAAATAATCTCAAAGAGTTAGAGAACAGAGAAACTTGTCATTGTCACTAAAGATTTATTATACCTGACCAACACTGAGCAGTAGCAAGTAATGTATGTTTTAACTAGGTCAACTACCACCATTAAGGCTGATGTCATGGAAGGCTGTAATTCTGTCCTGCGTTAGCCCAATAACGCACAGATGCAGATTCAAAATTATGCAAGGGCTACAGATTAGACACATTGGTTAATCTTCTTCCCCTACCATCAAACCAGTACCATGACTGTGAAAGGCCTAGCTCTGCAGTGCAGTAACAATCTGCCGATCAACAGAAGATTCACTGAACACTGCTGAAGGTTGCTCTGGATTCATTATGGTAGAACATTAGTCTCAAGGTTTAAAAAAAAAAAAGTTTAGATGAAAAGCAAGTCTCTTTTCTTCCTCTTCAAAAACACATGTTCTCCAGCAACCCATATGTCATAGTAAAATGTAAAACTGAAAATAAAACCTAGCCAGAAACAACAAGAGCAATTGACCAATATATTTTCATTGTCCTACCGGTGGTAAGCATACCAAGAGCCAGCCACAGAGAAACTACGGGTTATTCCCTCTGAAAAAGTTTTCCTAAGCTCCTGTTCTCCTCGAGAGGAGGAAAATAATTAGGAACCGGTTTAACTGCACTGCCAGCTGTGCCTCCACAACATGGTGGACAACCTGGACAAGAGTTACTGGTCCTCAAGAGCATGGGACTAAGTATCCGAGCATTTGTATCACTCCAAAGACAAGCTCTACAGCCTACTTTGAGTGAGTTTAATACTAATACAGGCAATGACCAGAACGGCTTAAGTCATGCAACACCATCTACAAATGTCTGACTTAAACGTAATTTTTAGTGAATTAAAAAAAGCCTAAAATTGGTGGGTGTGTGCATTTCACAGGAAATGCAGGTGTCAACCAAGAAAGAAAGGCAAGTGGAAGAATAAGGAAGCTCTCCTTCTGCCCTGAAAATAGGAAACAAAACACGGCCGATGCTTTCCTACTGGGGCGAGAGCCGTGGAGC